CGTCGTTTGCCGATTTGCAACGCCCCGAGCCCAAGAAACAGGTGCAATCAGAAGCGACCGGCAGGCGTGACAGGGCATCGGCATTGGTGTGGCGAATCCCCTTACGGTAAGTTGTTTCGAAATCGAAATCCTGAATGATCTCCAGCCATCGGGACAACTGCCCCGATGGCTGGTGAATACGCAGGGCATACTGCAACGCCGCATGATCTGTACGGACGGTGAAATGCCGGCCGTACAGATATGGCCAGTACTGTTGGATAAAGAAAACAATAGCCAACAGTTCGCGGCGGGTGACGCAGTATCGCTGCTCGGCCGGAGACAATACTCTACTACCATAAGCCACAACGCGCTTCACGCCACCCACAATTTGTGACAGCACGCCTCCAATCCCGGTATTGCTCGCGTCCGTGTCGAGCACGAAGGGCATAGAAAAATCGGGGTAGCTTAACGGCGGGGCCCCCACCAGGGCGTCCCGAAGAGAGTTAAAAGCGGCCTCCTCCTACGGCCCCCAATGAAATTTGACCCCTTTGGACGTTAAGGCATGTAATGGCTTAGCGATGGAAGCGAACTCCGCGACAAACCGGCGGTAATATGAAGCAAATCCGATGAAGCTTCTAACCTCCCCCACCGAGGTGGGAGTTGGCCAGGAGCTGACACAACGCGTTTTGGCGGGATCGGTTGAGATGCCTGACCGGCCGACGATGTGACCCAAATATTTAACAGATTCGCGCAGCAAATGGCACTTTTGTGGCTTGAATTTCAAATTAGCTGCGCGCATTTTGAGAAAGACAGCCCGAAGCCTATCAAGATGTTCCTCGAACGTCTTACTGAATACGATAACGTCGTCTAGGTAAATCAAACACACCTCCCATTGCAAGCCAGCGAGAACCAATTCCATCAGGTGCTGGAACGTCGCGGGAGCAGAGTGGAGCCCCATGGGTAACCGATTGAATTGGAAGAGGCCGTACGGCGTTCTGAAAGCTGTTTTGGGCTTTGACTCGTCGTCCAAGGGAAGTTGCCAAAATCCTGAGAGTAAATCCAAAGTGGAGAAGAATCGCGATCCCGCGAGGGCATCCAGCGATTCGTCCATTCGAGGAAGCGGGTAAGCATCGGTCACCAAGATCTTATTTAACCGCCGGAAATCAACGCAGAACCTTAGGGACCCATCGTGCTTTTTAACCAACACTATGGGTGCACCCCAAGGGCTGGTCGAGGGAGAAATGATGTCAGAAGTCAACATGTCATCTACAGCCGATTTGACATGATCCTTTTCGGCGGGACTTAACCGAAAAGGATTTTGTCGGATAGGAGCGTTGTCACCGGTGTCAATATGGTGGCGCAGCAAATTGGTACATCCGATATCGTATTTATGTTTACTAAAGACGTCGGAAAATTCCCGCAAAAGGGTGCGCAATTTAGCACGTTGTGAGTCGGACAGGTCAGGTGACTCAGCACACAGCGCCTCGAGCCAACCCTCGTCAATGTCTGAGGGCAGCCGCGACTGAGAATCGGTGGCCACCTGGCCAATGATCGGCATCTCCGCAGGTACCGGGACTGCATGTGCGAACACGGTTCCCTGCGAAACCACCGCCGTCCGTGTTCCGACATTTAGGACCGCGATAAACGGGTCCGCATCCCCTTTAACAATAGTCTGGGCCGTCACCAAATCTGGCCCATTCACCCCGGCCCTAGACCGGCCCAGCATAATGCCCTGGTCTGAGACCCCTTTAGCGAATGGTCGACGCAACCGCAGGGGCACCAGCATCTGTGCCCCCGGGGGTACGCGCACCGTTTGAGCCACGAGCGCCTGTACCGTTGCACAGGCAGTATGCAAGGCACGGGTGGAAGGCAGGAACGTTATACGTCGGCCCGATGGAAGCTCGATGCATTGCTGGTCAATCAAAATTTTGATGGGCAATTTGGCCAAAAAGTCTGTCCCCAACAGGCACGGAATTGCCAGCGAGGAGGAGACGAATACCGGGCCAGATAGTTTAATGTCCCCGATAGAAATTTGCGCTCGAATTTGGCCGATAATACCTAACGAGCCCCCGTTCGCAGCGTAAAACGGTATGTCGACAGGGAGCAATGGGCGACTCTGAACGGGCAGGATATTATAAATCAAATCCGAAATGATAGTCGCCGAAGCTCCCGTATCGACCAGTACCCGTACCTCCACCCCGTCAATATGCCCCGTGACAACGGACGACCCCGCCGACGCAGCTACAACCCGGTGAGCCAACTCGGACCATTGGCCCGGTTGGAGCGCCCTCCCCGACAAGCCACGACCCGACGCACCAGCACCCAAACCCCGAGACTCGTGTGTCGGACCATGTGAGAGGGAAGTGGGTGTGCGTGCAGGCCGAACGTGTGGGGTGCCATGACTTGCCCGAGGATGTTGCGAAGGCTTGTGAAGAGGACCGTCCGCAGCCCCAGGTCTCGCTCCACGCTGTCGAGGAGCCCGGCATCCCGACGCCACGTGGCCCCGGAGGCCACAATTGTAGCACGTGACGAGCGCTCCCGAAGACTTGGGCTGCTCTCGGTGGCTCGGTACGTCCCGAGCCGGTCGCTCGGCAGATCGCCATCCCGCAGAACGGTCCGCAGCGAAGGCTCTCTCAGAGTCGGAAGTGGTCGCCGCCACGGTGTGTCTTGCAGCTGCCTTGTTAGCCTTCCTCCGCTGGGAAATGAGATTGGCATGAATGTGCCTTGCAGCCCGCAATGACGACATGTCCGCATCATCCTGTGCTAGGATGACGAAGTCCAAGTCGTCAGCCAGCAGCAAAATTTTCTCGGCCACCATCGCATCGATCCCTTCTTCGTCCATACGCGGGAAGGCTTCCTTCGCCAATGACAGCAGGGCCGTGCGATACGCAAGTGGTGATTCCTTGTTGCCCTTCTGTCGCTCGTAGAAGAGCTGGCGACAATCAGAAGGCGGCCCATACACCGTGGCCAGCAGCTGCAGCGCCGACTGAAGTGTGGAGCGTGCCGACCTGGGTGCAGCAGTGAGGGTGCCTAGGGCGTCGCCATCCAGCATTGCCGGGAGAGCACACAGCGCCTCGTTGTCTGTCCACGCAGCCATTTCTTGGTGGGCGAGGAACCGGCGCTGGAACCCACCCCAATCGCCGCCGCTTGCTACGAACACCTGCAGGGCGGGCAGGCGTTGTTGAAATGTCGGCTCCGTCCCCGATCCTGTCGCAGCACTCATACTGTCCCCATGGACAGTATGAGCAATGGCGGCCCCTACTGGAGGTCGCACCGTCCGTGACGCGCTGGTTCCAGCTTGGTCGGTGCCGGCGTCCACTGGTGGTGACGTGGCAACCCCTGATAGGCAGCCACTGCGACCCGCCCCCGCCGATGACGTGGCGCCCGCTGGTTGGGCCCCGCCACCCGCGTGACGAGCTGGGGCCCCTCCCTCGGCCCCTACTGTCCCTGTGGCGGGAATTTCAAGCCTCCCGCCCATCGCAAAGGCGGGAGTTTCTGGCGGGCGTTGTCCATCTTCCCGCCGCGTCGCTCCTCCCGGCCCCAGGCGAGTTATCCGCTCCAGCATGGCGGCCGCTACATACAGGAGCTCCGCCAGTCGCGAGTGGGCCAACGCCAACTCGTCAGCCGACGTCCCGAGCCTCTCCGACGACCCCGCAGGTGTTGGAGCCGGCAGCGGTTGTGCAGGTACGCCGGCGGCGACGTCTTGCACTGCCTCTCCCTCGTCGTCATCCTCTCCTGGGTCTTGGGCACGAGTCGTCCGTCTCGTATCCATGCTTGGACCACTTCTGACGCCAGATGTAGTAAGTTCGAGGAGACGAGGTCGGAGTTGAGGCACACTCTGTTTATTAACTCAGTGACAGGCACAATAGTTGAAGGGGTAACGGCCCCTTCACCCGTACTATGGGAAACCCACCCTAGTACTATGCCCTCTGTCCTGTTCCCCAGTCCTCCTCTACTGGGCTACGGGAGGCTGACTGATCTGGCCCTGGTAAGCACAGATCTCGGCACCAGCTAAGCCGGCCTTGCCCTGACAAGGGCAGAGGTCCGGGAGCTCTTGGGCCGCGCCGCTGGCTTACCCAGCTCGGCCCTGACAAGGGCAGCGAGACAGGGGAGTCCCAGGGCCTAATCTCCGAGTCTTCGATCTTCACTGGTCAGCTTCGTGTCGTACTGCCTCGAGCTCTCTGGCTCCCCGCCTTTTATAGGGATCCCCTCAGAGGGCTTGGGGGCGTGGGGGATCACGGATGCGGACGTCGGTGCGACCACCCGTGTGTGTGAGTGCACACACCTCTGTGTTTCTCGTCCGCCGTTTCTCCCGTAATAACCCCTACATATTAAATAAGATACATTACAATTCCTTATAAGGGAAACAACCACTAACTGATAACTAATGTAGCATAATCACAATAAAACACATTCCAAATGATTACTAATCTACAACTCGCATCGTAACAATAGCCTGATTACTAATCTAGTATATAATTACAATCACTCCCCCCTTGAATCTTTGCACCTGATGAGTTAATGAGTTAATGATGACGTCACCCTGCTGCTGCTCTATATAAGAACGGGAGACACAGCAGAGCCCCTCACCATTCTGGCGAATTGCCCGATGATGCTGGATGCAATTACCAGCAAAACGTCGTACTCAAATTGTAAATGTTGTGGCTTCAACACACCGGTGGGCTAAAGCAGTGAACTATTTGTCTTTGTCAACGTGACACTTTTTACTGATTGGCCGTGTCGGGTGGTGGAGGGTTACGACACATTTATAAATAACGCGATCTAAACCCAAAAAGTTGATTATGAATAACATTGGTCGCGAAAGCCTATGTGTTAAACAAAAAGAAACAACTCTGATGATAATAATATGCACTGTCCTTGAAGTTGTCTCAGGTGTGGACCAATCAACTTCAAGGAGAGTGCATATTATTATCATTATCAGAGTTGTTTATTTTTGTTTGCATTTTGACTTCTTGTGTTGTGGTTATTGCAAACATGATGCCTTGTATAAAGGTGTCAGTTTGTGTACCAGTTGAAAGGGTAAAACCCTACTACTATATTTTGCCACTGCTAAAGGAGATGTCTCATAGTGCTGTCAATACCGGCGCTTGGCTCGGCTGCCCGGCAGCTCGTCCCTGAGAGCGCCCATCCCCAGGTGCCACATCTCGGCCAGGTCGAGAGCCAGGCTGAGGCACCCCACGGCATACATCACGTGCAGGAAGACGGTCTTCTCCGTGGGCCTCGACACGAAGCAGTCGACGAAGTGGACGCAGGGGTAGCGGCGGGGGCACACAAAGCGGGGGATCACCTCCAAGCCGTACATCACGTACTGGCCCAGAAGGAAGCCCGCTTCGGCCACCGTGCGCAGGACGAGCTGCAGCGCGTAGGCCCACATGAGGCCGTCGGCCCTGATAGCGCGACGCCCGTCGTACCGTCTGTAGTCGTTCTTCTTGGCCTCGTCGGGAAACTCCCCTCCTTGATCGCCAGGCGAGCTCTCTGACCTGCGGATAACGACGCGGGAGTAAAAGTTAAACATCTCCTTCTCGCAAGAACAAAGAGCGGAATTAAGGTTTTTTTGGGGGACTTCGCCGTTCTTATCACGGTTATCGTCGTCGCCGTAACTTCACTAGGCCTAGTAGTAGGTTTTTACCCTTTCAACTGGTACAAAAACTGACACCTTTATACAAGGCATCATGTTTGCAATAACCACAACACAAGCAGTCAAAATGCAAACAAAAAGAAACAACTCTGATAATGATAATAATATGCACTGTCCTTGAAGTTGATTGGTCCAAACCCAAGACGGCTTTCTTTAGAGCCTAGTCTCCATTGGTGTTGGACCAGATGACACCAAAAGGCGCACAACTCAAAATGATGCCTTGTATAAAGGTGTCAGTTTTGTACCAGTTTAAAGGGTAAAAACCTACTACTATATTTTGCCACTGGTAAAGGAGATGTCTCATAGTGTAACTTCACTAGACCTCTGTATCCTGTGTATGGCGAAGGCGAGGTAGAGAATGCTGGGTGTCGCCACGGTGATAATCTGAAAGATCCAGAAGCGCACGTAGGACAGGGGAGCAAAGGTGTCGTAGCACATGTTCGTGCAGCCCGGCTGTTGGGAGTTGCACATGAACGAGCTCTGTTCATCGTGATAGATGGATTCGCCCGCCACGATCGTCAGCATGATGCGCAAGATCAGGAACGTGGTTAGCCAGAGCTTGCCCAGGTACGTCGAGTGCAAAGATATCTCCTCCAACAAACGGGTCAGGAAGTTCCAGCTCATTGTGACCACCAGCTCGCCAGAAGCGTGCCCACCTGAGGATTCAAGAAGAGAGACGCGGATTCAGACGGCACGTTGGCTGGCCGCGCGCCGCGTTCAGCTCTTTTGCTGCCTCGGGATACCGTCGATCATCATCGATTATCCGGCACGGCACGATAATCATCCGACATTATCCAGCGGTCCTGAGACGATCTACCGAAACTGGCAAAGCCGCTCCAAAGGCCGTAGCAAACCAGTCCCGGCGGTCGGTCCCATCGTGCAGCGTGACAACAACAAAGTAGCCACAGTAGTAGTAGGTTGTTACCCTTTCAACTGGTACAAAAACTGACACCTTTATACAAGGGATCATGTTTGCAATAACCACAACACAAGCAGTGAAAATGCTAATTATTTTTGTTTTCAGAGGGAAATTGAGTTTTCAGGTGCATACGGCGGACAGCCGTTTGGATACGAGCAGCAACAATTGTTTTGTGTCTTTGATTGTTTCTCCCTTGTGATGGGACTTTGCAGGACGAAAGTTGAGATTCACAAGGGCACGGGGTGACCATTAAGGTCTGACTTGGTCTGTAATAAGGGGTTGACAGCTATAACTATATGTAAGTGGAATGCTCAAGTGGTGGTAATCCAAGGAGACCCACACAAGGCACAGAGAATGTTTAGACTGCAGCAGGAGGATTCCGATGAGCTAGAAAGATCTTGAACCTACAGATGTCCAGTCGGGGGCATGTGGTAAGAGCGTTACAACAACACACTCCACACAGTTTAACACGTAGCAGGCTTTCGCGACCAATTTTATTCATAATCAACATTTTGGGATTAGATCGCGTTATTTATGTGTCGTAACCCTCCACCACCCGACACGGCCAATCAGCAAAAAAGTGTCACGTTGACAAAAGACAAAATAGTTCACTACTTTAGCCCCACACCGGTGTGTTGAAGCGTGAAACCACAACATTTACAAATATTTTTTTATTTAAGACCGGGAGCCAGAGCAGAGCCTCACCATTCTGGCGAATTGCCCGATGATGCTGGATGCAGTTACCAGCGAAACGTCACAGTACTCAACAATTGTAAATGTTGTGGTATAGTGTATAGTAGTGTAGTATATATAAGTGTATAGTGTAGTGTATAGTAATGTACTGTATAGTATAGGGTAGTATATAGTCGTGTATTGGATAGTAGTGTAAAGTGTATAGTGTAGTGTATAGTAGTGTATATTACTATAGTGAATATAGCAGTGTATAGTGTAGTGTATAGCAGTGGAGTGTATAGTGTATTGTATAGTGTAGTATATATTAGTGTAGTGGATAGTAGTGTAAAGTGTATAGTGTAGTGAAAAGCAGTGGAGTGTATAGTAGTGTATTGTATAGTAGTGTACTGTATAGTATAGTGTATAGTAGTGTAGTAAATATAAGTGTTTAGAGTAGTGTATAGTAGTGTAAAGTGTATATTACTATAGTGTAGTATATAGTAGTGTAGTGGATACCAGTGTAGTGTATAGTAGCGTACTGTATAGTACAGTGTAGTATATATGTGTATAGTGTAGAATATCGAAATGTATAGTGTATTGTATAGTGGAGTGTATAGTAGTGTAGTGTAGTATATATAAGTGTATAGTAGTGTAGTGTATTGTATAGCTTTGTAGTGTATAGTATAGTGTATTGTATAGTAGTGTACTGTATAGTATAGTAGATATAAGTGTTTAGTGTAGTATATAGTAGTGGAGTGTATAGTAGTGTAGTGTACATTACTATAGTGTATAGCAGTGTATAGTAGTGTATACCAATGTAGTGTATTGTATCGTGCAGTGTATAGTAGTGTACTGTATAGTACAGTGTAGTATATATGTGTATAGTGTAGTATATAGAAGTGTATTGTATAGTAGAGTGTCCAGTAGTATAGCATATAGTTGTGTATAGTGTAGTACGTAGTGTAGTACTGCACATCCTGTATACCAGGCGAGGTAGTTAACATTTCCCAGCCACCGTGATGATGATGGTGGTGTAACCCACGACCTCCTGTATACCAGGCGAGGTAGTTAACATTTCCCAGCCACCGTGATGATTATGGTGTAACCCACGACCTCCTGTACACCAGGCGAGGTAGTTAACATCTCAATTACCAAGGCGTCAACACCAACGAAGGCCCAGACGACCACCAAACCTCAGGGTCGTTGAAATAGCAGCAGCAGAACTCATCCGCAAGTTGTGGAGACCTGCAGAGACCCACACAGCGAGTTGGCACAGCAGGGGCCCACAATGTGGTGGTAGCATCAGCCACTGTCTCAGTCAGTTGACACGTAACACCTGCTGGGTCTGCCCCGTGACCTCCTCCTGCCACGTGGTAGCCTCAAAGTGCACATGGCCTGGCACAAGCGTCGTGGTGACGTCACCGCCACTTAGTGGCGAATGGCGGTTGTTGTTGTGTGTGTGAGTGTTAAACTGTGAGTGTGTGTACACGTGTTGTACCGTAGCAAGGCTCTGCAGGTCAGCTTAGATGCACCCAAGCTCACGGGCCCACAGGGGGCAGCAGAGTTCCTATGACCACTGTTTCATTGCTTTAATGGCTTTATTTTGGTGATTTTTGAAAAGTTTTTCGGTTTGGCCATGTTTGTTTGTTGTAGTACAGAGTTAGACTGATGGCCTTAATCTAAGTTGTCTTGTGGTTGTTGTTGTTGTTGTTTGATCTTGCATCCCACTGGGATTTTTGCACACAGCATTGGTGTATGGTGCTTTTTCTGCAATATTTTGCTGTCTTTTCTTGGATTTTCTGTTTGCACTTAGTCACATAGTCACTTTAAGATGTTTTCTTGTTCATGTTTTTGTTTTTTTGTTTGTTGCGGTTGCACCCGATTCAAGAGCCGAATGGCTCACAGGGCTATACCTAATACATGAAAACTTGAAACTTGAGGCGTGTGGGGGTTGACCGAAGGTGACCACCCCCCCCCCCGCCTCTTACACTGGTCAACATGTGTCCACACTAGGACCTTCAAGTTCATGTTCATGTATTAGGTGTGGCCCTGTGAGCCATTTGGCTCTTGAATCGGGTGCAACCTCAACAAACAAAAAACTAAAACATGAACAAAAACATCTTAAAGTGAATATGTGACTGAGTGCAAACAGAAAATCCAAGAAAAGACAGCAAAATATTGCAGAAAAAGCACCGTTACACCAACGCTGTGTGCAAAAATCCCAGTGGGATGCAATTCAAACAACAACAACAACAACCACAAGACAACTTAGATTAAGGCCATCAGTCTAACTCTGTACTACAACAAACAAACATGGCCAAACCAAAAAACTTTTCGAAAATCACCAAAATCAAGCCATAAAAGCAATGAAACAGTGATCATAGGAACTGTGACCGAATTTTCACAATAAACGACGTAAACAACATGTACCACCAGAACCCTGCAGCCATAGCTGGCTGCATGAGTCACTCCACAACAGCAGGAGCATCAGTCGGAGTATCAACATTTTTTCAATGCACCTTTAAGATCAGCGCACTAAATCAAAACACAGATCATACTTCATGTAAGCTGACGTGCGCAGCGATCGCTGTCGTGGTGGAGTTGATCGTATTTTACTGGGATAATCCCTTTTGACTCCACACCAAGCTGTCTTTTTGTGCCATGTATAAGGTGCTACATTCGTGAACGAATGCAATGAAAATCAGGTTGATTCACGAGAACAGCATGTTCTTTCTCTGCCATAACAGAGAAAGAATGTATATATAACGTGACATTTTGGCAGACTGGCCCAACTTTATTTATGCCCATAGGATATTGAAAGATAATGCATAAGAATAGGGTAAATCTATTCTTATATTTTCACACACACTCACACAGACCCACAGACTCACAGAGACCCACAGACTCACAGAGACCCAGGTCACGTGACTGACCCCTTCGCCCCGCCCCCTTTCATCTTCTCTCCCCCGAGCCCCGCCCCCTGGCCACGCCTCCTGCGTCACGTGTCCACGGGCCCTGACATCCGGGGCCCTGACATCCGGGGCTCTGACATCCACATCCGGGCCTCGCCTGAGCCAACACGGGCGCAGCCTGGGCCCTTCTTCCCGCCACTTCTCCGTCGATTGCCTGCAGAGGGGTCAAAGGGTAAAGGTGTCTGTGTGCCGAGGGGTGAGGTCAAAGGTCGGGTAAAGGTCAGCTTGTTTTGACCTTGCCTTGCCTACTGGCCATGTGCTAATCCTAAGAGACGCTGCTCAACAATGACAGGATTCTGTGAGGTTTGCGTTGCGTTTGTTATCGTGTAGAGGGTGAACGCCACAGGTAGCCAGGGCTCGCCTTGTTCAAACCCCCTTTTAGTCTGTCCCCAACTCTCACGTGAAGAGAATCTGTGCTAGAAACCATGACATTGTTACGTGTAATGCGGCATTTCTTCCTAAATTACAAGCCGCGTTAATTACACTGGTCAACAACAACAAAAACATGTTTTTCTGGCCTGGACTGTTGCAGCTGTTCTAGGCTAATTTCAGGGTGCCGATTCTAAATCTGATCTCAGATTTGCTCTATCACGTCTATTTTTTATGCTATCGGCATACCCCATTTTCATTGATTTTACCCGAAATTAACTCTGTCACTTATGATTGCAAGTTGTTGCGAGTCAGTGACTGCTTTAGTG